TTACATATGGATTTAGAGAGGCTTTTCTTTCTGAGAGCAATTACAAATGCAAGCTGGGTTTATTTATTTATGAGCAACTGCTCAGGCAAAGCAGAACACCAGCCATGCTCTATCTCTTTGAGGAGCTGCTTAATATTAAATGAACCCATCCCTTTGCTATACCTACACAGATTGTCTAAACTCCACTGGGCACAGAATCCAACCTGGCGTTTTAAATAATCCGGATTATCAGTCCATTTCTCTAGCAAGATCAGCTGGTCACTAATGCACGATTCAGAAACTGTCATTTTATTTTCACCTGTAATTTAACAGCAAAAAAAGAATAAGTGCTATAAACCATGGATTAGTTAAGAAGAACATTGTATAAATGCAATAGAAATTTTTTAAACCTTAACTTTACAAATAGCATGAAGTTCTTCTCACAAGCAAGCATATAAAATCACTTAAAACTCAGACATCCCACCTCATGCTATGCAGCCACATCCAGAACACCTAAGCCACAGCTGCTCTCCATCTCTTTCAGTGACAAAGGTCTCATATCAAACCTTTACGTAGCATCTCCAAGCTGAGGAGGGCTGCAGTGAGTTGCAGCAAATCTCTTGTGGGTTTGGGGGGGCAGGGATGCACTAAAGCAACCACTATTTCTTCATGCCTATAAATGCCTGATCTTGGCTGTTCTCCAACTCTTTAGATTTTTCAATGACAAAGGGCTCATAAACCTTTATGGGGCAATTTCTAGCTGTGGAGGAGTGAGGTTTCAGCAAAAACAACCTTCAAAGTTGGTTGTTCGGTTTGTTTCGCTGTTGGGAGGGGGAAGGAGTATTTCCTCTGCCTATAAATCCACAAACATTGTTTCTTACGTCTGCATTCCCATTAATCCAATCTTTCCCGTTCTCATAACAAACATGAGGAGATGAAGCAAATGGCAGTCACTCAAAAGCAGCCATACCACAACTCTTAATGGTTAAGGCTGATACTTACTTGTTTGTGCAAACTTCTCCAGGGCTATTAGTGCAAAAAGCATCACTGTCGGATGGGACTGGAAATTCTAGACAGGGGCAGCAAGAATGTTTAATGAATACATGACACAGACATGTAGGAAAAGCAGTTAGTCTGTCACAGAATGTTTTAGGTTGGCAGGGATCTCTGAAGGTCCTCTAGTCCATCCTCCTGTTGAGAGCTGGTTCACGTAAATGAGGCTGCTCAGGGCCTTGTCCATGTGAGCATCTTATTTTAATGACATGTTAGCTGAATAAGCACAAACATACTGGTTGCTATGATGTATGAAAGGTGGAGATCCCACAGCTTCTTAGGAATTGGGGTTTAATACTTGACTGCCCTTCATGATTATTTTCCCCCTTTTATCTACTGAATTTTCCATTTACAGCTTGTGCTTTTTACCACTTATCCTCTGAACGTGCACCTTCAAGGGCCTTTTCCATGCCCTCCCACTAGGCAGCTGTAAATAGCAATAAGATCTTCCTGTAACCACTGTTTCTCTCCAGGCTAAATAAACCCGATTTGCCCAGCCAAGCTAACAAAATAGTTTCTCATTCCATAGCACTGTAGACTCTCAAAGCTATCCATCCAAGAATGGGGCATTGACATAGCCTGGCAACACAGATAGTGGGAGGGCATGAGGAAAGGGGACCCAAAGGGTAAGAGGATGAACACACTCACAAAAAATAGCCTTATGTTAATCTAAAGACGAACGAACAGACCAAGTACACATCAACTCAACCGGGATGCCCCCACTCCTCCCAAGAGCTCATAGCAAATAAGTTAGTCAACCAACCAGGCACATGAGACTGGCTCCTCAAAATGCCCATGTTTTCATCTCACACCAGTCTCAGACCTACACAACTGCGTTTATTTCATTTGAGATGCTCCTGACCTAACAAGTGAAATCAGAATCGGTTTTTAAGTCAATAGCCCCGAGCACTAACTCGAGAGCACCTAATAAAAGCCTGTTTTTTCCCCCCCAAAACCAAAGAGCAGATTAAGAACTCTCAACTTTCAGAGAATAGAGAATTAGCAACTAAGGGTTATATATTTGAGGTGCCCCTTTTTTTTTTTTAAAATATATATAATTTTGAAGTTTCCTAGACCACTTATGCAGATTTCAGTTTGTCCTAACAGTAAATAGCACTTGCAAAAAAGTGGCATATAAAAATTGGTAGGGAGGTTGGTTCTATCCGATGAATTTTCAAATCCTTTTCAGGAAACAAAATATTTGCTCTTTTACCCAGTGCAGAAACAACAGAATACTCCCTGAGTATATCCAGCTAAAGCCTTTTTACCCTTTCTCTCAAGCGCATTCAGTGTCAGGGGGAAATTATCCTTCTGTTTAAGCTTAGATACAATTTGATCAACTTTCCTACTAATGTTTAAATGAAGTATGAAAAATTATCAAGCAACATCCTAATTGGATGAGAAAAAGATATAAGTGGCAATAGACAGTCTGCCGTGTTAGGATATGCAAGAAATAACAGCTCTTTTAAAGACAGCAAGGTCACAAATATATTTTGGGGGAGTATTTAATAAAATGTCAATTTTCTACTACATTACCAGTATTTAACAAATATGATCCTAATTTTTCACAATAGCCCAAAACCAATTTGTGTTACTTGCTTCCCTTAAAACAAAAATAGTCCCTGATTGAACGAGATTGAAAGATTCTTTACTCAAAGACAGACATCAAAGCTAGACCTGCAATATGACACAAGTAATCCTTCTTTCTAAGGAATTCAAACTATTTTTCCAAGAAAATGGGAGTATTTGTCATGCATGAATAAGTACAAAAAGAACTAAGGCACTTACCAAGCTATGAAGTAGGTATTCTAATATGCCTCTGCTGAGTAAGCCTATGCTTGCAGGACCTGCAAAAAACATTAAAAATTAAAATCTGGGCGTAGGAATGATCATACTCTCAGCCTTGCACAGAACTTTTATTCAGAAGGCAATAGATTAAAGAAGAGCTAAGCACACTGACTTCGCAATACCACCAAGCTCTTAAAAAGAAGAGCAATCGTTGCTCCAGTATTTGCTACACAAATAATTACCCAGTTACTGTCAAATTACAAATATTTTCAATTTATTCATAAATGCATAAACAGTTCTAGCCACATTTCAGACGTTTTGAAGCAAGTATTTGCACCATTCACAGCTAATCTTGCACTATGGCACACAGCCAATTAGAAAAATGCTCCCAAATACTGCCTGTGTTATCAATAGAGATACACAAGGGAATCAGACTGATATCTAGAAACACTGAACAAATTTTAGTAAATCCCAAGACAACATTAACAGATCTGCTTGCCTGAGCTTGTACAAGAAGATCTGCTCCTGCGGCACTAAGAGCAAAGCAGACACAAGAAGTCATTTTAGACCTGCTACAACAAGAAGGCAGAAGCATTACAGTACAAAATTGCTTCCTTCCCTTGTCCTTCCTTTTTTTTGGTGAGAGAAATTGAAATTATGCTTTTAACAGGCATAGAGTGACAGCAGACATTCACTTTGGCCTCATTCCCTTTTTCCAATTGCTTTCAGGAAAGGGAGCAAAAATCTAGATGCATTCAAGAGCATCAGC